TCGCTCCTGCCTACCACAGGCAATTATGGACAGAATATGTAACATTACAAAAAAAAAAGCTAAGAAATAACAAATCTTTTTGACGTTCTGAACATCCGTTTTGATTCGTAATGCTTCAAAGGGATCCCTTTCTGATTAGTAATTTGGAGATTTGTATTAATGAAACATACGAATCTCCAAATTATGAAACAGAACTCTGAAACTTTGCAAACCCCTAATCAATGCTGTGAGACTCAATAGTATAGTTAAATCAGATTAGATTTAATGTTCTAATTGGATACAGAGTAATTACATTATCTCTGTTAATGAAGTAGACATATTCCTGGCTTTACATCTTTAACAACAATTTCAGTACGAAAGGTAAAATAATATATAAAGAAAAAAGGAATAGATTCCTACATCACACAAAAGAAGAGCAGCTCCACATGTTTTAGCAGTATCTCATTAAAAACTAAGATCCACGTTTGAAATGAAACAGCCAGGTTATGCTTAAACAAAATATTCTAAACACCACTGTTTTTTCAACATACTCCACTTCCCTTATGTTTTCCATTTTAGGGGCAAAATGTACACATCCATGCTTTTTCAGCTTACCAGGGTAGCTAGTGAGGCAGGATAACCCCCTTTCTTCTTTTATTTTACTTTTCTCAAAAACTCAGTAAGATTCTGTAGGGATCTGTTTCCCTTTCCTGTTGTATGCAAGTACATGAGCTACACTAGAATCACATCGAGTAGAGTCTTCCCTATGTTGATGCTGCAAAAAAGCTAGACAGAAGACAAAGATTTTTTTGAGGGGATGGAACTTGGTACGGCTTTGTATAATGGACCACATTTGTCAAGGAATTTAGCTGAATTATGCCTGTAATTCACACTGAAATGCAGTAAGCCTATATTTGGATGCCCTTCTGATCATTTGTTCCAAGTAAAGTCATCACACGCTGCCCCAGTGTCTTACTGCGATGGTTGATACCACTGGTGAGACATTTCCTGATAAATGTTGATATAGCTGGTCTGTGTGATTGCCAGTCCCAGTTTTCAGGAGAAATGTGGTTCCATACCAAATTATAGTTTTTTGCTGCACAAGGAGTAGCAAAGAATGGCATTTTCTCAACAATATTTATTTATTTATTTCATACATTTGTACCCCGTCCTTCTCACACACACACACACCCCGGGGGGGGGGGGACTCAGGGTGGCTTCACAACAAGTACACATTGAGTCTTAGTCCCGATTGCTGCTGCTATTGTTGGAATGCTTGGTCTCATAACAAGGTTTTGAGTTTTTTCTAAAGGATAGGAAGGAAGTAGCTAATCTGATCTCACTGGGGAGAGGGTTCCACAGGTGAGGGACCACCACTGAGCACTAGGAAAACTGACAAAACGTAACCTCTCTGGAATAGTATTGTATTGAGAGAAGACAACTGGATCTCATATCTTGGAAATTCCAGATTGGTACCTTAGAGCAGAGGAGTCAAATTTATTTTACTGAGGGCCACATGGCCTTATGGCTGCCTTCAAAAGCCTGTTTGTAATTGTAAGCCTATAAATGTAAGTATGGACCTTATCCCATTGGGGGAAGGGATCATATTGCCACAGTGTTTAGTCCTGTATGTTACAAAGCACATAGTTCTTTTTGTCATTCCTTATTACATGTTGTTCTTTTTTGCCTTTTCTCCTGAAATAATCCATTTTCAGATCTATTACACCAGCTAGTGCAGTTCCTTCCCACTCCATTTTTTTTTAAAAGAAAGCCTGGGTGGGGGGGTGACTCTGAGGATACCGGGGCTTTTCCCTCCTGTCCATCCTGCTGCTCTGGAGGAGAAGGAAGGTACTGATTTATTGTGTTGGCAGTAGAGAAATCTCTTGCAATTCAGATCTCTGAATGAAAGAGAGTTGGAGAGAGAGAGCGAAGGGGGAAAAGTAGGAGGCTTCCTTTAAGTGTTTCTTGTGCTGTGTTCGCAGCAACCCAATAGAATCCACCCATTACAGTTGTGACCATGTACGTCTGGGAGGTGGGAGAGCAGGCTTTACTGGGTTGTCTCTTGCACTGCAAAGCATTTCTATAGGCAGAAGAATTTACCAAAGCTCATTGCTCCCTCTTTCCTTCTGTTTTTCAATTCCTGCCCCCCAAACTCCTCATACAAGAGCACTGCAATATGGGGAGCATGTGAAGCTTAAAGGACTCATCAAAAGATGGCCAGTTACTGCCTTCCTGACCTGAATTTACATGGGGGAAGAGATCAGAAAAAGCATCGTGAAGGAACAATTCAAGAGACAGCACTCTGGGGATACCGGCTTTTCTCCGATTCTCAATTGCAGAAGTCCGAGATTTAAAAAGATGGCAGTAAAGACAGAAAAAGCAAAGTTAATTTGAAATTTTGATGTTTTGAAAGATTACATTATTTTTTTAAAAAAATACCATGCCGAGCTCATAAAGCAGGATTTTGGGAGAAAAATGTCAATTCTTGGTAGGAGACTGTCCATAGGAATACCCCTTACTCCTTGTCACTGAAGCGATTCAACCCAGGCCAGTTTGACAGCTCCTTTCCCACATGTTTTTGGTTGTTTTCTCCAGTTATATCCTGGTTTCTGAGTCCAGAAAATGATCTCTGACCATCTTCTCCCCCTCCCTTTTTTGATGACTGTTTCTGATGTTTCCCTAAAGAAACCTGATGGAGCTGACAGGAGGTTCTCTGTGTCATGGGAAGAGCGTCATAATTGTACCCTCAATGGATTAGAAATGTTTTAAAAGTGGGGGTGCGGGTATGGAAAAAGGTCCTATGTTGTCTTGGCATTTAAAGTCTCATGGATCACATAAAATGACGTGGTGTACCGGATTCAGCTTATGGGCCTTTTATTTGACATGTGTCACTTAGAGGAAACTTTGACTTTGTTCCCCTTTAGGCTGACAAATTAAATTTAAAAGTTTATTGTATATGATTATAAATGATACTCATTACATGTGGCTTTTCTTTTTGGAAAATTGAGGTTTGGCAAAAAAAACAAGCGAAGGGTTATGATTGATGCTAGTGGGTTTTTGTTTTCTTTTTTGCTTTCATGGATAAGTAAGCAGCTCAACACTGGGAATATAAATATGAGATATTTATATTTCTTTATTAAACTTTTTAATCTCTATATGCATGTCCATATGTATTTTTAAAGACTGTAGACTTTATTAATTTAGCCACCTCCTTTTTAGGTAATATTAATTGCATTTTCAAACTCTGCTCCTTACAATCTTGGGAAAATGATGATTTGGGATAGGGTTTGTGTGTGAAAAAATGGCTAGGTATGAGACATTCATTAAAATATGTACCTGGTATTTCAGTTTCATATATTTGCACTGATGTAGATGCCTAGAGCAGTAGAATAGAAATACTTGCATTATATCAATATTTTATTTGCTTTTGAGCAAGTTATATAAGCAGGCAGTAGACAGAAGTGTATAAATTATTTATTTATTTACCCGAGAAGGTGACTTTGCAGTAGCAATGTGGTGGTTTTCCATGTTCATTTCTATGTTGGTCGAACACAGACCTAAATGATGTGGGTTTGAATGGCCTGAACTGTATTAAGCTTACTTCAAAATGGAAGAAATTAGTCTATTGCTTATAACTTGTGATAATGGAACATAAGTATGTCTTTATGCTTGTAATATATTTAGACAACTGACTGGTGGCGAGACTTTTAAACAAAAAAATCAAACCAGTTTGAAAGACTTTTGATTGTATTTTTTCACAGTGATTTTTCTCTATTTCTTTTTTGTCTTCGTTGAAATGATATACAATCATGGCACTATATTCTTCTTTTGGAATTTAGATTGAATGCACTCTATTTTTTTGCTGTTAGGTTTTATGACTGATGTTTATCTGTACATAATTGGTTTATTCTTAAGATCCTTTGACCACTTCCATTGCTACCAGAACTACATAAACTACATTTTCTCAAAGTACTATCAACCTATGCTGCTACTAATATGTTTCAGTAAAGATAATTTCCAAGGAGAAAGATAACCTTTCTAACATTTATGCTATTGTTGGGTATAAAGCAGTAAAACATCAGAGAAACATATTTCGATATAGTGGCAGAGTATAATATGAATATATTTGTAACATTTATTGAAATATATTATTTGGAGTTCCTAAGAGCACTAGTTGCCACTGCTCACAAATGAGCCACATTAGAACCTGTTCTGCATTAGCGTTTAAATAGCATATGCTTTTCTAAATGAACATTTTTGGTGGTTGAATTTCAGATTATTAGTCAGATGCCAACCCTAGTTCTCCAAAAGGCAGTTATGATATTTCAGTACTTGGTAAATGTTTCTATTTTGCTTTTAACCTCTCACTTTTCTTTTCAACCAAATGCCCATCTGGTAGCAACATTTGCTGTAAACATAGCATCATGCGTTTTTGAAACAACCATGCCTTCTGTCTCTCTCCCTAAGCAATCTTTTTTTCCTCACATCCCACGGTATTCTAACTTCTCTCTAATTTTCATTATTCAGAATTTTAACTCTCTCTTATCCAATTTAATAGCTCCCTTAGCCAATTTAAGCCAACTCATTTTTACTTGCCACTGAGGTCATTTTTTAAAAAACTAAGATTGAAGCTTTGGTTACAGGATAGACATTATTTTTTCTTCTTTAGCAATAATATTGATTTCCACTGAAGCAAACAGATGAGCCTTTTAAATGCAAAGTGCTAGAATTCACTAAAAAGGTTAAAACTGAAATGAGTAATCTTCGGCACATAACATGCAATTGTTAATTTTAGCTCTGTGCGTAGGAGCTGTTATGACTTGAACAGCCGGCTCTAGCCTTCATTAGAGAAGCAGCACACAGTTTTTTGAGACAGGTGGAGCCGGATCAAGCTGTGACTGTGATTTGCTTAAAGCTGGTCATTAGTGTTAGAAATCTGGTCACTATTTATTTTATCTTTTTAATTATAACCATGATTATTGGCATTTATTTTTTTGTCTTTTTTCTTCCCTCCTCACCAGGTTGATGACCATGATCTGTCAAGCTCTCTAAAGGAACAGCATGGAGATTGGCATTCGGAACTGTTAATGGGGTCATGGGACTCATGTTGTCATTGATCACTTGTGTGGATTTAACCAGTGAGGAGCAACAGAAGCTGAAAGAAAGGCATCAAGAAATAAAACAGGACTGAAGGTAAATGGCTTCTTTGTGACAATAGCAGAAGAAAGGTTTTGTTTATGTGAATTGGTACCCAAGGGGGAAGTATGCATGCTTGTGACTTGTTTGTATTTACCAAATAACGGGGTTAGGATTCAGACAAAAATTGTGTGAAAGAATAATTTCACAAATAAATGCCTTCTAAGCAAAAAGGGTAAATTGCAGGTAAAAGTATTATAGTATGAGAAAAAATTAAACAACTTGATAAAGCAATAGGATAATTTAAACAATATAATTAGTCATTTGAATATTAACCTCCTCTTTAAATTGTGCACCTTTTGCTCCAGTGTTCACATACAATGAGATCTGCATGTTTTAAAAGAACCTCAATGTTCTTAGTTCCCTAATTCTTTGTAAATCATGTTCCACTTGAAAATTTAATTATTGAACAGGATATTAGATCTTTCTGGTAAAATGCCAGAACAACTGCCAGAATAAATATAGAGAAAATTCTAAAAATTTAAAAATCATAAGTGACATTCATTTGTTTTAAAAAAACAAACAAAACAAAAGCAGTATTTAAAAGATCTGTTGGCTGCAAATTGCAACCTATAAAAGAAACGTGCCGAAGTCTAAATTTATTTAATAACTGTTATTAAGTTGTGATAAAGGGAAATACTGAAAACAGTTTTGAAATAACTCTTCTCCTCTGCTATATTTTTAAAAGTTTTTTTAAAGGACAGAGTGGAGAGAACAAAAAGTTATAAATTATTCATGAGTTCCATTTGACAACTGATCAGTAGGGAGATGTCAGAGGGATTTTTTATGGGCAAAGAGAGGAAAATAATAATAGGCTTCAGCTTTGAAAAGCCATGTTGAGCTCCTGTACAGCTGACTGTTGTGACTTGAGAGCAATGCCATGCAGTTAAGATATCTTCATCAGAACCGCCCTGCCAGTGGCTTCTAGAAGGATTTTCACTGTTCTGGAGAGTAACATGTGGTTTAAAAGAATCTTAGGTTTTTAAATAATGAAGCTGTCAATTTAATGCCAAGAAATGATAAGAATGGGCCCATTACTGTCAAATTTAGAGTTAGTATTTACATTGAATTATTAACTTTTCAACCAACTGTGTTTGTTTTCTTATGAAGAATACTATAATCCTTTTAGCGTGTACATAGGGAAATAACTGATTTATTAAAATGTGTGGGTTGTATTGTGTGTGTGTTTGACTGTCCGCTGGGGAATCTTGTGATGCCCCTACCAACTAAGAGAAGAATGCATTATCATTCATTGCTGTATTGGTGAAATAATTCTTCTCCATTTATACCACTGCAGAACTGCTCATTTATATTCTCTACCATGTTGATTAGTTGAAAGCAAGCTGTTCTACATGTTTGCTCTGACACAACTCAACTTTCACCTAGAGTGAAAGAGTCTATTACCAGCTGCTGAATTATATCACCGCAGTTCTTGAGCTTCTGGCTCTGCTTTGTTAGCTCAACATGAAGGAAATAAAAATACCTCAGATGAGAATAAAACAGGAAAAAATCATTTATTATTTTGGTTTTTCATGTCTTGACTTTACAGGGCATCAAATCTTGTGTTTTTAATTTCTATCTGGGAGAATGTCTGAACAGGGTAAAGCAGGGAATGATCAGGACTCGGCCATCTCCCAGCAAGAGAATTGCATCCTTGGCTCAGAGTTAGACGAAGATGGCAAATCAGAACAGGTAAGTGCATGAAGCAACTTGGTTCCTTGTTTGCCATTTTCACATTATTTTATTTTATTAAATATTTCGTATGATGTATCCCTCTTCTGCCCTTTTTATGATCCAATCCAATAAGCCTTTATTGGCATATACATAGCAAAAAAAAGTGTAAAATACAGTACAAGCCATAGAAAAGGGAACTTCACATTTGCTACACATTCAGTTTACAGACTTCATTCAGGAATCGTGCCACTGAAAGGCAGCAGTTAAAATCTTGACAGTTTAAAATCTTAATTAGTTTGTCTGGGTCAATGAAGATTCCCTTTTGATAATGATGATTATTATTGTTGTTATTGTTTTTATTACCCACATCTCTTTTCATCTCAAGGTGGGACACAACACAGTGAAATCACATATTAAAACACAGTTAAAATGCAACCATAAAATCATATATTAAAACACACACATATTTTATTTCAGTTATGCATCATGTGCCTTAATTTTTCCTATATCCTTTTGAAAGTAAATAAAGTTATATTATTGCCTTCAGCAGATATCACATTTGTTATTACTTTTATTTTTATAATTATTTTCAACCAAAAACAGCAGTATAGAACTCTCTCAAGAAAGTTGTGGAGTCAATGGGGTCAATTGTGGATATTAATCTCTGTTATCTTGTGTCAGATTTGTGTGATAATAATTAATTACTAAATTACTAGCCTGCTTCAATAAAAATGTGGTTTAGAAGATTTGGGTTTTTAACATGAAGTTTCTTCATACATATAAAACTAGAATTTGGATTTTACCCCAATTGAGATCAGTGAAAAGATTTTTTACAGATACATTCTTAGGTTCACTTTTTTCAAGCTGTTTAATTAATTAATTAATAATAATAATAATAATAATAATATCCCACTCCATCTCCCAATACGGGACTTGGAGACACTGACAAAGTAAAAGGCAAATATTCAATGGCAACAAGTACATATATGCAGACATAACTTAATAAATAGCATTTAAAACCCAACCACATTCGATAATAATAAATAATAATAAACAATACAACACAGTACAACACTAAAATGCCTATAGTGTATATAGTATTTGACCATCACATCATGACACAGGTTCTTCATAAATGATTTAAATCCCAGTTATATATCCATAAGTTATGAATAATTTGTCACTTTCTTTTTACAGAACCAAGATGCAAGCCAGCAGAAAAAAAGATTTAAGGTGAAGTTTTTGATGGATTATTCAGTCATTATAAAACTAGTTTAGGATGTAACATTGCCTGCTTGTGGCTGATTATGAAACCGTTTCCTTAGTTTGCTTGTTTGTTTTCATTTGTAGTGTAAGAAGGCATCCAAAAGCAGGAAGATTTCATAAATCATCACTATTTCAATCAATATATTTTTTCACCATTCAAACTTTTGATCTTTTCATAAATTTGTGCTATGTCGCCAGATAAATACATCGATTTATTTGCCATGCTGTACTTTAAATTTGTATGCAGGAGCATATAGTTCCCAAGCTTTTTTTTTTGAATATGTAAAAGGATAGAAGTAGATGGTCGAATTTCTCTCCCCCACCCTCCTATTTTACAAATTCCATTGTAAAAAGTCCAACATACTGGTTGCAATAAAGTATTATGAGTCAAATTCTTTTTTTAATTTAGTGAAAATTTGTCTTTTGAGTGCCTCTTTTATTTTCTATTAAATTATTTATAATACAGTAAATATTTTCAATCTTTGTTCCTCTTCATTAAGTTCATAGTTATCCAACAGAAACCCTGTGTGACATTTTTGTTTGTTAGTATCTGTTCTATATTTACTTGAGTCATCGTGTAGAAGGCCCATGCCATACAAAATTAATTTCTCTAATTTTTTTTCTATATTTCAGTCAGGAGGGAAGGGGAAACTGGTGCGAAGTCTGGCTGTATGTGAAGAATCATCTCCTCGTCTGGAAACAGAGAATGATAATCAGGTATCTAAAACTGTTGCTATTAGCTGCATGGTTAAATTTTCCTGTCTATATGCATGTTGCCATTATGTATTTGGAATTTAAAGGTGTTCCTTGATTTTGGGAAACCCAAATCGCTGCTCTGAACAGTATATTTGATGATGATGGTGATGGTGATTGAAGTTGTGTTTAGCGTGTACATATTTTGAAATAAATTAGTAGCTTGACAGTGTGTCACAGGGTGTTATTTGCTCTCTTTTTTTCCAGAGCCCCTGAAAATTTCAACAAATGGAAAAGAATTCAGATTAATTATTTTTAAAACATTTAAAATATAGACTTGTTATTTTCTCTAAGAATATCTCTTTTAAGACGACACCAGACATAGCACTCTGAGTTCATTCTGGCTTCTAAGTCATGCAAGGTCAATGTATCAGTTCCCCAAAACCTATTCCTAAGTTACCTGGCAAATTCCAGAAACTCTAAATCATAATGATCCAGAAGCAAGTGCATTGTATTCCATATGGTTTATTTTTCTGATTCTTGGTGCCAATTTTCCACTATTGCAAAGCCTGTATTTGAATGTATTGGTGTTGTATGCCATTTATTCCAAAGATATATATAGTTATATGTAGATATGGATCAAATCAGGAAAATGAGATCTAACATACTACAGAATTTTGCAAAAATTTCCTTACTGCAAAAAATCATCTTCTCTTTCCACTTCTTAATAAAAACAAATTTAACAAGAACTCAAACCAAAAAGAAAGACAGAGATACAGAAAGAAAAAGCAAATTTCCTGCCAGCACTTTTTTTACTTGAAGACTCAGATATTATTTGAAGAATGAGATCAGCCATAAAGAGAGAAAGGAGACAGAGAATGACATACAAACTTTTGTTAGCACAAAACAAAAATCACATTGAAGTGTACTTTCTTAAACTTTTCTCTATTAACTTGAAATGAAACAAACCAAACTCTCTTCTTTGGACTTTGCCATGGAGAGTTTTATTTTTTTGAAAGACCAAAAAACCTAACACCCCATAATTTATTGAGTTATGGGGTTTTTCTATGTTCTCTTGCTGCTCTACAATGACATTTATGCAGTAGGACAATAGACAGGTTATTTTAGAAATTGTACATAGATTTTTTGAGGGGAAAAGTTACATTTTCAGTCAACTTGCAGTACTAGAAATGTGTGACTTCTGTTCTGAATTATGTTTGTATTTTCCATTATTTCAAATGAAGACTATGAGGAGAACAATATAAGTATCTCAGATTGTATTAAATATTGCATGGTAGTTTCTGATGTACTCTTTACAAAGGGGAAAGGGGGAATGTTATGCTCTACATCTTGGCAGATACAGAGGTCAGTACTTCTAAACTACCCCAGTGTCAGAAAGAGGAGAATTGTAATGCGCATTCCTCCTGGTCCCTGCCACTGTTTGGTGTGTTATAGGAGAGACTCCTTTGACCTGAATGTAAAAAATGCAGAGTTTACAATACCTTCTGCCACTGAAGCATGCTTCTCGAGGCTGATTGGTTTCATATAATACATTATTGAGTTGAAATGCCAATTGAATTTGCACTGAGAAAGTTAGACCTGTGTTTTCCTCTTTTAATGGATATTGGAAGAACTGTGCCAATGGAAATTGTTTATCCTTTTAAAATTATTTTTCTTTCTTTCTTAGTTTATCTTGGCTGTTTACATAATACAGGGTCTACTATTAACAGAGAATGTATGGTACACTACCAGTACTACAGAGTATGGATTGTACTACAAATCTAATATTTGTATTATATTTGAAAATTTGCCTTGATTTTCCTGTGCAGGAAAAATCTTGTTACCTGTATTACTTGATCATGAAGATTTATCTGATCGCACACTCTGTCCTTACTTTAAAAATAATGTTGCCTCTAATGCTATTGTTTTATCAGTGTATTATTGAAAACTGAACATTTCTTGTTGTTTGCTACATTTACCCTGTATGAATGTACTTATCAACGTTGTAATTTTACTATTGAAAAACAAATAAATAAAAAATGAACATAAGAAACAAAAAATAGATTGTTTTCAGACTCTGAAGCACTTCTGTGTGTGTTTATTTCAAATACAATTACTATGTAGGAATATGTTATGTGTATAGCACAAAGTATATGCTGTATGCTTATATGTTTGTTTTAGACTATATGTAAAGTCTGTGTTTCTTTCCATGTCTATAAAAATAAATTTTGAATTGTCAGTAAAAGTGAAAGACTGAAGATATCAGAGGAAATTAGTATCCTTTCCATTATTGGGCTGACCCAGTTTTTTCAAGTAGCTAGATTATTTGTAAAGAATTTACAACAGCACATAACTATTAACAGTAAACTAGGCATTTTTATAATATACTTCCTGAATAACCTTTTGTTCGGTGACCAGATCTTGAGAGTCATGGGCCATTAACTAACAATAACTTGTGACAAGTTGTAGTCCCAATGATTTCAGAGTGGCTTAAATATTCACAACAGTGAATCACCTTAATAAATCTATATATACTTAATAGTTTTTTCCACCCCTGCATAATATGTATGCATAGATTGCAACTTCATTATGCAATCGCCTCTAAAAATTCCATTTTCAAAACTATTTAAATTTGCTAGATGATGGACTTACTCATGTGAGATATATATTAACATTATTAGACTCCCTTAAATGATACATGTAGCTACAGAACATTTGGGTTATTCTTATTACTTTAAAATTTGACGTGCTAAAAATTCAAGCATGACACTTGTAATAACAAACACTAGGACATACTTAGTAGGAACCTGAGTAAATGTCTGAGAAAGTTTTCCCATTGTAGTGCAAGTATACATAATAAATAAGTCAATGTTTTAATTGATGATATCAGACATAATATAATCATCTTCTCATTTGTATTTATCTGGCAACTGTTTTAGATGTTAAGTACATAGGTCTTTAATAAAGATCATATGTAATGCCAGTATTTAATTCCTTGATGATTTAAAATTCTAAGTTAATTATTAAGCTCCATTTCTTCATTCTAAACACAGTTTCATAGATGCACCATCATATTTAGTCTCAGTTTCTTTAAGCTAAGTGATTATGTCTTCTGTAGATTTATCTTGAAATGCCTTCTCTTGATTTCAGTGGAATTTATTTGACAGTTTAAAAGCCATTGTTCATATTTTAGCTGTAATTCCTTTACTCAGTACTTTTTGTTATGCACTTTTATTTTAAAAATGCAATTCAATGAATACAATGAGTTATACTGAAAGGAAATTAAGAGTTTCTGTGAAACAGATAAATTAAGATACTTTCATCTAGTCATATCTAAATTCTGATCCTTACAAGTGGCATCCAAAATAAATATCAGGAAGCAAAATTGGTCCCTTAGAGTATGCTTTTCTTTTTCTAAGATTAACTTTGCCAAATATTGTCTGGCTGAAGCTTTTCTGAGCATGGACTTCACTATATATTTTGGAAGCCATGCCAAGTTTCCTGAATTTGGCCCTAAATTATTATATTTTTTTCAACAGGAATCAATACAACTACAGCTTTCAAGTTTCCCCAGCCTACAAGAAGAGGATAAATCTAGTAAAGATGACTCTGAGAAAGAAAAAGAGAAGGATAAAAACAAAGAAAAAGATAGAAACATTGAAAAACCCAAGATAAGAATGTTGCCAAAAGGTGAACAAACATATTTAAATTATTGTTGAGTCATTAATCATACTTGCATATTAAGACATATTTGAGTGCAAGTACATATATGCTTGTATGTGCATTTGCCTTGGTTTGTGCATTGAGATTCTGTATATGTGTGGGGCTGTAGTGTGTGTATTTGTTTGTATATATTTCATATGAATTTAGTATCCACCCAGTACTATCAATATTTTCTTCACCTATACTTCCTTTCTGCAGTTCTCTGCAGCACTGAAAACCTGTTCCAGAAGAATCAGATCCTTCTGGGTCAGGCTGTTAGGGTGCATAGGGACTGCAGAAAGGGGGGGATTGCTTCCTTTCCTTCCATTCGTAGAAGGAGCTTTCTGTTGTGGAAACACAGCATTGGATACTCGCTTACATGTCAAGCCTACACCATTTATGAATCAGAAGTGGAAATGCAGCCCTCAAGCACATAGAACAACACATCAAGGTTCAACATAAACTGGCTGCTGAAAGCTGCAAGGATTGGGAAATGATTGCAGATCATCTCATCCACAATGTATAATGTGTGGATTTTGTTTAGCTTTGAGATCTACAGTGTTTGAGGGTTTCTTTAAAAACACAAAAACATGAAATAGTAGCATATTTTACAAGTTCTTTTTTACTTCAGGAAAATAAATGTCGATATAGAGCCCCATGACATAAAATTATCACGTTTGATATATTAAAATACAGTTAACTCAGAATGTAATTCTAGATTCAATTAAATGGTAACGATGATGTTGCTACAAGGGTTGAAACTCTAAAATGCAGGTGCCTCTTCTGTTTTGAGGAGCAGATAAAAACAACAGAAACAACAAAACTTCAACATTAATAAAACAGAGAAAATATTTATCTTCACAATATCCTAAATAATCTAAAGACATCAGACTATGTCTGATTTGGAAGCTAAGCAAGGCATACTCTGGTTTATTCTTGGATAGGAGACCACTAACATATAACATGTGTTGTAAGCTATATTTCAATGGAAGAAACTGGCAGAACCACCTCGAGTATTACTTTCCTATGAAATTCATGAGGTTGCCATAAGTTGAGAGATGACTTGAAGGCATATACACACAAACACACTTTTTGAGCAACACAATAGACAATGAATTGCTGTAAGTTTTTCGGGCTGTATGGCCATGTTCCAGAAGCATTCTCTCCTGATGTTTTGCTTGCATCTATGGTAGGCATCTTCAGAGCTGTGGGGTCTCTTACCTTTGAGGATGCCTGCCATAGATGCAGGCAAAATGTCAGGAGAGAATGCTTGTGGAACATGGCCATACAGCCTGAAAAACTTACAACCCAGAGATTCTGGCCATGAAAGCCTTCAACAATTCAATAGACAATTTTCTGTAAAATGAAACAAGCAAAAAAAAAAAACAAAAACAAAACAGGAATTGTAATGGTCTGAAGTTGTACATAGTCTTACATAAAAGCCTTCCGCTTATATCGTTTTTGGAAATGATTTTGAATAAGTAAATCTGAGCATGTCTTTCCAGCAAAAAAAAAAAAAGCTTTTGGAAAAACTTGGTCCCCTCCCCTACCCCCCTGCTGCCACCCTATTTTCTTCTATACATATATCTCTACCTTAATTTTGAGGGTTACTTCTGGGTTGGTAAATCTTTAAAAGACTCACAGTGGTTTGTTCACTCATGACCTGTCCCCAAGTTCTTAGAAAAAAAATCATCAGGTAAACTCATAATTGTGTAAACTATCTCATTTCACATCACTAAGGGCACGGTAAAAAGAAAAGGAACATTTCATATTCAGATGAAGAGAAAGTCTCGAATGACTTATTTCTTCCTCTCCATAAAAAAGGAACCTATGCAGCTTCTGGGGGCAAGTAGGGAGTGGCAGATACCCCTCTAAATACAATCCTGACCCATCCATGAGCATCACTCATGTTCAGGGAATGGAAAGGAGGGAAGATACCTACAATGCAGTACTTCTCCCCCCAAATGGTGGAATGGAAGCTCTTGCATACAGCCAAAGTTGTCATTGAGGGAGAACACTCACTTCTTCTGCATCTTCCTCCACTGGTGTTGTGTGCATTGAAAGCAGAGAAAACTGAAACAATCTGTTATTATTCATAGAAATAATCTGTTATTATTCATTTAATTCTTTATTATTGAGAAATTACTTAATTCTTATGTAATCCCAATTTAGTTTCTTACATACTTTATAAAAGCCACACAAAAATATGTCAAAAATTGTCAATTACTAATATATTTGCAATTCTCTAATCTTGGCAACATTCCATGCTACATTATGATAAGAGACTTTCAGAATGGAGTTTTATTCTTATCCCAGCATTGCTGAGCTAAAAAAAAAATCCAACTCTACGCACCTTACTGTTTCTAAGTATATTATGGGATATATATTCTTATTGGTTTCCATATCATTTTTTCATACCATACAATGATTGGGTTTGAATACAGTGGATGACATTGCTAATGTAAAGCTTGCAATGTATCATGTGATACTGGAGTAAATGCTTTATGCATTTTTCCTGCTTCTTGGCAGGGGTTGGATTGGATGGCCCACGAGGTCTCTTCCAACTCTATGATTCTATGTATTGGTTATAGTTGGTGTATATCCAGGAAAGCAGATCAAGCAGAATCCTTCTTTTGTTTGAATTTTACTTTTTTCAAAATTTATCTTATGTTTTCTGAGGAGAAGTGTTTAAACGTTTTTTAGATAAAATCAAAGAGCAGCACTAGCTTTAATACACTTGTGTAATTGCCAAGAAAGGAGCACTTCCACGTTAAGCCATCTCCAATCCAAAATTAGTCATGTGTCTTGTCTTGTCTTCCACATCTGCATGGCTCTTTTATCACCATTGTTTTTTATTATAAACACAAAGAGATGCCCAGACTGTAGGATATGTCCAGGGTTTTTTTTTTTAAAAAAAAAAAAACCTCTCTTGTGTTCTAAAACTTAGTTTCTTCTAATATTAAGTTTTACTTGATGCTTGTAGCTCTTCACAAATAAGTTAGAAAAAATGTGTACACTCCAACTGTTTCATAAATTATTTTTATATAACACAATTCATATCCTGAATGAATTAAGACTTTCTGGTACATGGAACGAAGAGACAAGGCAGGGAGATGCAGATGAGAGAAACATTACTTCATACAATAGCTTTTAAAATCCTTTTAAAGAAATAGAGCTATTAGTAACATGTGTTTTTTCAGACTGCAGCCAAGAATACACAGACTCCACTGGCATAGATTTGCATGAATTTCTGGTCAACACATTAAAGAACAACCCCAGGTAAGTGTCACTTTTTTGTGTGGCTTTAAAACTGGGAGAAATATAATAATTATGCCAAAAATGTGATGGTCATGGTACAGGAAATATCTATGATGTTATGAAAGCATATTGGGACATATATTGCCTATTTAGTTATCAATACATAGCTAAGTAACATCTCCTGGCCCAACTTCCACTCATTACCTATATACCAAGCAACTGCTGGCCGACAGGTCAGCGGTTTGGGTTGATCTCCCTCTATCAGCTCCAGCTCCTCACGTGGGGACATGAGAGAAGCCTCCCACAAGGATGGTAAAACATCAAAAACGTTCGGGCGTCCCCTGGGCAATGTCCTTGCACACAGCCAGTTCTCTCACACCAGAAGCTGCTTGCAGTTTCTTAAGTCTCTCCTGACATGAGAAAAAAAGCAGCAGCCATATTGAGAAATTGAGGTCTCTTCAGCTTGTGATTGGGGTGCAGGAGGCTGGCATTTCTATTTCCCTCCAACCTCAAGTGGGACTGCAACAAAAATCACAACAGGGGCCCAATTCCGATTGTTGTAGCCTTGCTCACTAGTGGGAGGACGTTGGTGACATCCTCCTCCTCCTCTCTCTAAACTGGCAACTGAACAAACTTCAATTTCTTGGTGTGGCTGGTGCCTGGTAAAGTTGGTTTGGGATGGTATCCATAATTGCCACTTTGTTCCTGAATATGGAGCAGTTATGCATCCATAACTCTTGATTAGGAATCTGTAACTGCAATGCAGAATGCCAGGGACCATCATTCACACAGATACATATTTCACATATCTCTTTAGCCCAGTAAGATAGCATCTCAAGATTCAGAATGCTCTGCAGTAATGTTTTTCAAACTTTTGTTGTTAATAACCATCAAGTGAATTTCAGTGTATGACAACCTTCCAAATTTCCCATCAGACTCGGGGTTGTGACTTTCTTGATTGAATTGACCCATTTGGAATTCATTCTTTATCCTTTCTTTTTGCCTTATCAAGCATTATCTGTCTTTTCTAGTGACCCTTGTCTTCTCATAATATCTCCACTATGTGACAGTCTCAGTTTAGTCATCTGAGCCTCCCTATAATATGTGGTGCTAGAGGGTAAGCTTCTCATTGTACTCAATAAGATCAGTACCCACTGGATATAAATTGCATACTGGAATGGAGATCCATATACAACTTCTCATATAGAACTATAGAAGTCTTGTATGCTGAACTGGAAACACTTGGATTAATAGTTTCAATTTTGTAACTTTTGTAAAGAAAGAAAGAAAGGTATTCCATACAGACACCACATATTAAATGGGCTTGTTCCTTATCACATAAGCATCATTAAGCTAGTTGCTTGATGATGCTTATGTGATAAGGAACAAGCACATTTAATACAATGGCTTCAAAGCACAGACTATGACCTACAATATATTGTACATCTTGTTTCCAGGGTCCATTAAGGACTATTTTTCTCTACATAAACCATGTCCTTCTTCCAATCACACCACAATCACAAGCTTGTCCAGTAGAAATACAAGAGAGGGTCTTCTCAGTGGCCACTCCCAGGATAGGAAAAGAGAGACTGAGGGCACATCTACATTGACCACTTGATGTGAACTGAAAAAAAATTGAAAATACAGTGGCATGAACAAGTAAAATTGAGGGATACTTTGAAATAGACCCCATAATGTCTATTGGATGTAAACCACATTATAGGGAAACCCAATTAAAGAATGGTTGTCTTAGAGAACTGGACATTGGAAGAGAGGGTCTTTGGAAAAAACTGTGAATCCTCTATATCCTTGAAGCCCTGGATATTGCAGATTCTAGAACTGGGCCAGAGCCCCCCTCTTCGGTATAAATAAGCAGTAGCACTGCCCAAGTTTTGACCTGGTTCCTGTGCTTGATGTGTGATCAGGTACACATTTGCTTTCACCCTTGCTACTTTCATCCTACATTACTTAGGCAGTGTAGATGTGCTCTAGGCTGATTTTTTCTTGTTTTGCTGCCAGGGAGGCTTGAGGCAATTGAGTAATTACAGAAGTGTTTTTTACAAATTGGTGTTGTATTTATTTTTGTTCATTGTGAAATGCTTTTGTTCAATAGTTCAGCAGTATCTAATTCGCTTAGCATATGTTTTGTTTTAATCTTCACCTGCTTTTCTCTATAAACCTTATTGTGAGATACCTTGAATATTACTTCTGGGAGAACATCAAGAAAAGTCAAACAAATAATAAATTCCCTATTTCAAATCTTGAATGAAATGGGACATTGACTTCTTGCATTCATAGTAATAGTAAAGTTTCGTTGAGAGCAGCAAGCAAAGGGTGGCACTTCCAGCTCTTGTTCACTACCTTTCACGCTGTCAGGGCTTCAAGACAATGTACAATAGATAAAAACATATTTTAAAATTGACCAAATCACTTTTTTTAAAACAAAAAAGATAGCTTATAAAAATGCATACATGACTAAATAGTTTAAAGGATTGAAAACTATTTGAAACAATATATTCCTGACTGAGTGCCATAGTCACAAAAAAAATGGGCACTGCTTAACTTCCTCAGCTAGGATGCCACAGTGTTCCCTCACTTATTGTGGGGGTTCTGTTCCAGGACCACCCATGATAAGTGAAAATCCACAAAATAGGGACGCCATGTTAATTTTAATATTTATACATTATTTTATATATTGCAGAACTTTCTAGGCTAATTGTCATGATGTTGAACAGTCCCCACCACCATTTTCTGGGAATGATTTCCCATAAGAACAAGAACCACTCCAAATAGTATACTCAAATCTCATATCAGACACATTATATGATGATGGTACTAAATGTTCTGAAACCAGTAAGAAGAACCTTCTTTGTGTAGCTCAGTCTGTTTCTGTCACATTAGTGGAACAACAAAGTTGGAAGTGATCCAAGTCATCCATTTCATTCAAGAAAGCCTTGAGTTCACTGCTTACTCTAAGAGCTCACTCTAATATAAATTTTTAACTGACTGATACTTAACTGAGGGTAATGGGGTTCAGCTAATATCTTTTCAGCAACAGTCTTATAACTATTCGCTTAACAATAGCTGGAACATAGTCTTTTTCTGAGAATGCACGATTTGTTCATAGTTTTGACCATCACATTCCACCAACTCTTTCAAATTAGAGCTGCATGGGAAAACACAGAGAGTTGCATGGGTAGTAGATCCCCATTTGTTTAAATACTGTCTCTGAATATGAAAATGAAAGACTTTATTCCAGCATATCAACGACTTACAATTTTTCAAGTTGCTCCTGACACGAAAAAAAAGTTCCTTGAGAACAGTGGTTCCCATCTGTGGTCCATGGACCACCAGTGGTCCCCAAGAACTAAAATATGGTCCACTGCCTCACCATTACTACACAATTGCAATAAGACTGACTGGTCTTGCAAAACCCTCTTATAGTGCCGAGGCAACAGGGATATTGGGAGGGGAGAAGCTGATTACCCATGAAAGGTGCAACAACAAGCCTCCTGACTGCTGCTTCTCCTCCTCCATGTGGCACCTGGAAGCAGGAGTGCCTTAGTGTCTTTGTTTTTAGGCCTATTCCTGGGGTTATTTGGGGTGCTGATTAAGAAAATTGCATTGGATAGAAAACATCAGCTCTAGATTATTAAATATGGTTTTCTGTGAGCAAGCAGATGGCGACTACTGTATGGGATATGTTTTGTATCAGCAACTAGATGTGGTCTATCCAATGCAATTTTCTGAATTTTCCCAAATAACCAAACTGAATCTAAAGTTGACCAAAAACTGATTCATAACCCTTTTGGTACTAATGTTGGTGAGTGGTCCCTGGTTAAAGTGGTTCCTGGTCAAAAAAAGGTTGGGAACCATTGCTTTAGAACCTCATGAGCAAGATTTCTCACTGTATATTATTATAAAATGTACTAGCTGAAGAGAAGACTACAACATCCTAAACTTAAAAAAATCACTGTTGCATTAGACAGGTGTTCTTTATTTTGTCAACAAATTCATTGTCCTTTTCCTGTTAGTCTTTATAATATATAATCAATATGGGATTCATTAATTGATCATTTTTAGCTTCTGCTCAAACCTACGCAAGAGGTACTTAGCTATCATTTTCTTATATAATCGTTATATAAAATTTAGAAGACTAAGGTGTGGCTAGTACCCTGTTTAGATCCAAAGAAACATAAGTGAAAGTAGGAAATGAATCTCATGAATGCTTACATAACTGTTCTGAGATTGTGTGGTGAAGTACCACATATTGGCATGGGCTGCAATGCAAAAGGAGGAACTGAGAAAAAGAAGAACTGTAGTGTGCTATAAAAAGCATATAAGAAATAACTTGTGCAAAGTTTTACACAAGAGCTTGAGAAAAATGAATATTGGATTTTATATCATTTTTCCCATGCAGTGCCACCTCTTTTGAGTCACAAACAATCCTACCAAACAAAAACAATATTTCTTCTTGTGAGAGGGCATTTCTCCATCCAATGAGAAAATAGGAGTAAAAGTTTAAGGGGATATCAAAAAGCAATTACACTGAGAATTCTATTCCTGGATGCCCCTAGAGTTATAATAATCCAAAGAAAATGAAATGTAATGGAAAGGAAGATTGTTAATTTGACTAGAATGAAAATTTCACTCATCCGAGTGCTCAAGAGATTTGTGGATTGTGAAAACTGGTGTGTTACCCTTCTAGATACATTGCTCATCAGGATGCACCGTGCATCTCAGCCTAATAACATCACAAGTGGTTATCAAGACATAAGACACCAGAAGACAGGTCTGGATGACCTTTGTTGGGGTAGCAGAGATTTCTCAATATTCTAAATCTTTCTCTTCCTGCTCCTTCCGGTCTCCCTTAGGCCTCAAACAGCCATTTTAGAAAATAGAATTGACCTTCTGGTCACTTACAGATAAAAAGAGGGTGGCTGTTTGGGACAAGGTGAAAGTTTTCTTCTATGTTTATATATAGGAAGGAAATGTTTAGAAATCTCCACTTTCCTAATGAAGGTCATCCAGTCACATCTTCGTGTGTGCACTCTCAGGATTTATTGTGACTATCAATATGCCTGCGTTTCTGGGTTAATAGCATGTTCATATTACTTTAACTGGCCTTGTCATGTAAAATTCTGGGATTTGTAGTTTGGTGATGAGAGTCTTGAGTTCTCTGCTAGAGATCCCTAGTGCTGTTTGGAAATTCTCAAATAGCATATAATTTAAATCGCTCACTAGGCTTCCAAAGGAGCCATGGCAGTTAAATGATACCAAACTGGTGTCATTATGTGTTGGACTTAATTCTATGCCATCCCACCCTAATAAAAATAACAATATAATAAATCTGGAGTCCTTTGGAAGAATGCTAGGATACACAAAATGCCATATGTTGATAAACAATGATAAAGACTTGCAACTAACAACTGTTATTGTCCAAAAAGGAAAAATAACCATAATCATGATGATATTAAGAGTAATTTAGCCTGAATTACATTTGATGACGTAGCACTTGCTCATTTGGTGTTTGACTTTAATAATGTTATATTATTCATAAACAGTGTTTAATAATAGCACTATTATTTTAAACATTGTAGTTTAAAATGTACCTCTCAAACATACATTTAAATAGTATTTTTTTATTAACAGGGATAGAATGATACTGTTAAAAATGGAGCAGGAAATTATTGATTTTATTAATGACAACAGGTAAGTTTATTTTCAATATTGATTTTTTTTGTTTTATGTGCACTGTCTTATGCTACTTCCACTTGCTTTGAGATATGTTAGAAATGGATACTCACTTATTATTCTTGGCATGATCTACAATACAGTGATTTGGAGCTTTGTAATATGCAATTTCCAGAATTTTAGTAATAGGAATGCTTCATTGTATAAGAAACTGGGCATACTTTTTAAAAAAGACATTTATATCTAAATTCCTCCGTGTGTAATAAAAGGAACAATGTAGAGATTTCCAGTATGGTTTTAGAATTATTTCAGACTGCTTTTATTTAAAACCAGCACTAAGGATACAATGAATTATCCCTTCTGGGGTGTCAAACTAATTTTCGCAAAGAGCCACATCAGTCTTGTGGTTGCCTTCAAAGGGCCATTTATAACTCTAAGACTGCACAGATGTAACTATGTTGCCCTAGTATCGAAAGCCTCACAGGCCACATAAAATTATATAGTGGACCAAATTCAGCCCATGGGACTTTCATTTCACATGTGTGTCTCAAACAGACTTCAAGGAGGTGTGGGTCTAAAAAACTATCCTTCCATAGAGTTCAGTGGATGACCTTGGACCAGTCAGAGACACAGCCAAACATCATCCTCTGGATGCTCTCACAGCCATTCTAGCTCTCCTATGGGTTTTTTTTATTGTTACCTTGGTGAGTGTTGGCAGCAACCCATTCCTACTGCAATTTTAAAGTATTTCCTGAAGTCTTATCACCAAGAAAATGTTGCATATAAAGAGGGGCGGGTCTTCTTTCTGCTCTGCCACCCTCAGCAATCATGCAGTGTCAAAGGCAGTATTAACAAATTCAGATTGGTGTTACACAAACCCGAAGAACTAGTTTAATTTAAAATAGGAAGCAGCTGCCAAAATATTTTCTTTACAGTTATCCCACTGGAACTTTCCATTAGTAGTTCATGGATATCACATTGGAGATCATTTGCCATTGCAGGTTTGGCCTGTGGCCAGTGGTTCCACGCTAGTAGCACTACCAAGAGCAACATTGCAGCTTAACCACACGACAAGGGGTTATTAAGGCATAAGACTTTACCCACTTCCTCAGCCCTATGTTTCCCCATTTGGCCCAGCCCTCTTATACCTGTGCAGCAGTCCTTGGGAATAAATAACTCCAGGTCCCATCTGACCATCAAGCAGAACCATGCTTGCACCTTACCTGCTCCCTGGGCCCTAGACTACTCTGTTGTACTAGCCCAGCTCTCCATAGTTGTTGAGGCCCATTCTTGAACTCTGGCCATTGATAACTGAACTTGCCCAATGGAATTAGTACTGAACTGGCCTTTAATTTTAAATATGTACATCTGTTATATAGTATTATGTCTTTGTTTTTAATTATTTTTAAATGATTATTCTGTATGTCGGTAAGTGCAATGCCTTACCTATGCTGAAAACCGCCCTGAGTCCCCTCGGAGAGATAGAGCAGTATACAAATAAAAGTTTATTATTATTATATCATTATAAGACACAACAATAGCAGACAAATGTCAGTACTGTTCCATTGTCCAGGTGGCAACCAAAAGGAGGCAGTAGACAGAGAAGGCTAGTCCATTTTACGGGGAGGGGGGATGGGGGGTTGAAGAAATAAAGCTATTTCCCCCTGTTTTCCTGTTATTCCCCTGACCCATGTTGCTATCATGGAAACAACTCTCGTTTATGAAATGGGAAGTGGGGAAATTGTTTTCCTCCTTCAACTCCCCCCCCCCCATATAATGGATTATCCTTCCTTGTCTGTCATCCCCTTTTGGCCTCCATCCAGATAATGGAACAGTACCCAAATGTCTGTGGGTTCTTTGAACAAAGGACAACGTACAAATATAACAAAAATAAATGGGCAGTTATCATCTATATATATAAATTTCCTCCTGGCGTCGTATGAGGAAACAAAACTCTAAAACCCCCCAACGAAACTCCACCAAACTTCCCATGCCCCAAGGGCAACCAACAAGGTACAAACTAATCCAGTCAGAAATCAAAAACACACAACAACAACCACAATAAACGGCAAAGCAACTGAGCATGCGCACTACCGCAAACCCCGCCGCGCGCACACTCCACACTTTCCTCCCTCCCTTCCGGCAGCGCTCTCCTCTCCTCCTCTTTTCAGACTGAAACACAAAGCGGGGCATCGGGAAAAGGGGCTCCAAAGGGGGGCACCAGCAGCAGCAGCAGCCCACTCCCTCCGGACAGAGTGACCACAAGGACCGCGACGCAGCCAGATCCCTCTCGGTGGGCTTCGGGGTGGACCCTCATCGACCCCCTTTGTCTCGCCCCTCGCCTCACCACAAACAGGCAACCAAGCCCCGCACGCTTCCACCGCCCACACAAACACACACACACACACACCACACTCCTTCCCCCCGCCCCCTTCCCGCACCGTTAACACCCATCCCAACTCCCCCTCCTCCCTCTAACCCAGCTCACGTCACCACCAAGCCATGCCCCCTTCCACTCTGTCTAACCCATCCCAACTCCCCCTCCCCCCCCCCCCCCCCCCGCGCGGCACACACACACACAGGCTCCCTCACTACCTGTTGGGAAAGCAGCAGCAATGGCAGCAGCAACGGAGCATCCACGCAAGGAAGAAGGGGAGGGGGGGAGGGGGAGGAGGAAGGTCCACGGTGCTTGAATGAAGGACCTTCCTTCTCTCCCTCCCCACACTTCTTTCCTCCCTTTCTTTCCTTTTCTTCCTTCCTTCTCCTTCCTTTCCTTCTTTCCCTCCTTCCCTTCCTTCCTGTCCATCCTTCCTTTCCTTCTTTTCCTCCCTCCCTCCCTTTCCTCCTTCTCTCCCTGTTTCTTTCCTCCCTGCTTGTCTCCTTTCTTCCTTCCCTTTTTCCCTCCTCTCATTACTGCTTGACTGTCCCTTCCATTTAATAAGGAAATGAAGGGGAAGGAAATGAAGAATGGGAAAGAAGGAGGAAAGGAAGGAGGGACAGGAAGGAAGGAAAAAAGGAGGGGGGAAAGAAGGGAAGGAAGGGGGAAAAAGGAGGGACATGAAGGGAGGGAGGAGAAGGAAGGTGGAACAACCAAAAATATTGTGTATCCACAAGTATTAGTAAATAACAGTTCTTAAATACCACTACTTTGTCAGTACTTTATTTTCCATAACAACACACTACGCCACAGCAACGCGTGGCCGGGTACAGCTAGTTAGTTATTAGTTATGAAAGGATTCATCTAGATCCATTGAAGGTAAGGGATATTTCATGTTAGAATAGTGTAATTTAAATCCTAGCCATTCCCTTGCATTAGTGAAGATACAATGTAATCTCCATAGCCACAAAGGATATGTTCCTGAATTTATTGTGGAAACAAAAAACCGTGGATTATTGAAATGAATGACTTCTGCCAGAAGTTATTATAGAATCACTCTGGAAGACATAGCAAATTCCTATGGAGTTATCCTCTCTAGGAATTTGCTTGGTTTGCCAACATTTCTCTATGATAACTGCTGGCAGAAGTACACTGTAAAATCAATCACCTGAAGGATTTATAAAATGCCTAGAGATTACATATTTTGTCAGATGCAGATATGCAAAATTATGCGTACAGGTTCCATGGGTCTAGGGGTCATACTTTACAAACAAGAACATCACCAGCATATTTGATTTCTTCTGTTTAGTTGTTTTAGTTATACCCTACATTAGATGTTAATCTTCCTGCATTCTTTTATAACTCTGCTTTAAAAACTGAGGGACCCAATAGATGCGTAACATGTCATTTTTAAAAAAATGAACAAGTGTTATAATAGGAAGAAGACTCCATATTTTACCTTCCAAATTAGACAAGTGAGTTAACCAAGCCTGATATTTAAAAGAAACCCTTTTAATAAAAAAATAGACTGCTGTCAGAGGCTGCATTATATTGAGCCCTTTGACGTTTTGTTCCAGTAATCATTATAAAAAGTTCCCCCAGATGTCATCGTATCAGCGAATGCTTGTGCACAGAGTGGCAGCCTACTTTGGTATGGATCACAATGTGGATCAGACTGGAAAATCTGTAATTATCAACAAGACCAGCAATATGAGAATGTAAGTGTTACCTTGCTTCTCTCTTACTATTCATCTTTCTTAAACATCAGTTGGTATCATGACCACATTTCATGTGTGTTTTCTTTTTTTTCTTTTTTTGACCTTTTATTCCATTTCCTCTAATATTGAGTACTTGTTTTTACCTTTCATTCACAAGTGGAGTATCATTATGCCAGTCCTTGGAAGAATATGAAATATGTTGAAGTAAATCAATCTCATTTGTTGATAAGAAAGCTGTGCAGTGCCTCTAGAATGGAATGTTATTTTTCTGTTACTTTATTGTCATCAGAATGTAAGTGAAGGGAGGAAGAAAATTGTTTTCTATTCCTACCTGGAGTAATGCAAGCTGTGATGTGCAATGGTACTTTTAACCCATTAGATTAAAAGCATCCTGGCATTTCCCCCTCAGTTTTCTTCCTACAGTCTTCTCCTTTAGAACAAGGAGTTCTTTATCTTTGTTCTCTCCATTCAAGATTTTTAAAATCTGTGTTATTATCTCTTCACAGTTTCTCAACTCTCTCTGAATTAATTTGCTTCACATAATAAATGAACTGAGAACATGTAGTGCATAAAAAAGAAATGTCAGAGAATGCAGAGTTACTTCTTATATCATTAAGTAGGTAGGAATCTATTAATTTATGTAATTTAAGAGTGTATGCCTTACCATTTCCACTTTTTCAAAAAACTTACAATAAAATAATAAAAAGGACAGACAACTATTATAAACATTGATGTAATATCTGAGGCCCTGCTGCACAATCTCCAGGTATACTGCTTTTATACCAGACAGGTTAGCCAGATTCATAGCTTTGCAATCATTTTGTTGGTGAAGGCTGCCTTGTAAGTTTCAATTAAGGCAACAGATTTCTGCAGTTTCATCTGTTACAATCCTTAAAATGAAGGAATCAGCCCCTTCATTTAGGGGTAATTCTGATTCAGTGTACCTGCTTTTGTAAGAAACAACTTGGAAGTAAAAAAAAACCATGGAATTATTTTTCTTCTATTCAGAATTAAAAGTCTGCTTCCAAATAATTGACTGTTCAGTTCAAATCAATGTACAGAATGCCTTTGAGTCGCTGCAGCTCTCCCTTTCTGCTTCCCTTTGTTGTCTACTCTCCACTTTTGCTTCATCTTCTTCCCCTCTGGCTATCTTTTAACTGCCCTGCCTCCTGCCATTTGTTCCCAGGTCTCAGCGTAATCCACTAATTTCTGCTGTCTCCAAATGTATAAATGCTGTTATTATTCACAAAGGGTGCATCTATACTATCGAATCATGCAGTTCAAAGCCGCTCTAACTTCCATGGTTCAGTGCTATGGAATCCTGGGATTTATAGTTTTGTGAGGCAGCACTCTTTGCCAGAGAAGACTGAAAACCTTGTAGAACTACAACTCCAGTGCATTAGTTTTACAGTGCAGATGTGTCCAAAGCTGAGGACTTTTACTGGACCACAGGGAAACAAGACTGCAGAGATTCTGGCAATTTCCCCTAACTCATGGTGGCAGAATACCAATGGAGCAGATTGGAGCAGATGTTCTTGAGGAATTCATCCATTGTTGATTCTTATTTCAAAGACCAGCTTTCTCACTATTCAAAATATAGTAATGCAGTTTGGGGCCATTCAAAACATATAATATATGCATATTTTATAAATATTTTAATAGAGAATAAGTATTGAAATACATATATTTTATAAAATTAATAATTAATTCAAAATAGAACACAATTATGAGTAAAATTATTGTAAAATCATGAATCTGAAGCAAGCACATTCACCTATTTCTAATCAGGATTACTGGGTACTATTCCAACGGGGAATGGAAGAGTAAAACCATATACTAAATCTAATGAAATTGTTAAAGTTACTCCTCTTAGTTAGAATAATTTGGTTATAGGACCGTATCTGAGCAGTTGTATGTGTATGCTTGACATTTTGGCACTATTCTGTTGTGGTACACATCCACCAGCAACCTTCTCACCTGAAATCCTGAATCCATACTTACTTTATACTTGAAAATGAAAAGATCCATACTTACTTTATACTTGAAAATGAGAAGATACTAGGCAGGCTGTGTCAACTGTAGAGAAAGATTTAGCATTTCTCAGTTATGAATTGCCCCCTCCTGAAATTATTTTACCTAGAAGAAGAAGCCATTAAGAGTTTACATGTTATCTGTCTGTTGCCAAGTCAGTTTTCTAAAAAGATTGTTAGTTTTAATTTGCTAAATGCAAGTGCATTTACTGTCAACATATAGGTGAAACGCTTCTTGAGTAATCAGCTCTCCTATATTTCCCATATCAGCTAATCTTTTGAGATCCTCTTGGCTCTCTTGTACATCTCCCTCATATTTAGAAGTACAGCCGCAATACATAAGGGGGGGGGTTAAGGAAGGGCTACAGAGGCACTTTGAGGAGAGGGTATTACAGAGAGGTGGGTGAAGGAAGAGAGAAACCATAAGACAGGGATGTAGGAACCCAGAATGAGCAATCACCCCTCCTCCATGCCCTCTCTGAGGTTGGGAATCTTCAGCATTCCCTTCCTTGCCCCTCCTGTCCATCAAACCTTGCCCCAATTTATACCGCTGCAATGAGGGGTGAGGCTTAGGGGTCCTTTCCCCACTTAATCTCTCAGGAAAGTGAAGGAGGAGAAGGAGGAAGAGAAAGAAGGGGAAGAAGAAGGGAGGAGGGAGAAAGAAAAATAGAGTATGAAGAAGAGGAAGGAAAAGAAAAAGAGAAGGAGGAATGAAAAGGAAGAAGAGAAGAGAAGAGGGAAGAAACAAAAGAGGAAAGAGGAGAAGGAGGAAAAAGAGAAGGAAAAGCAGGCAAAGTTTACCAGATTCTCAAAACCATTTTGTTTCTAACATGTCTATGTGAAATGAAACATTGAACCCTTGTCTCCATTTGTGACAAATCTTCTAAGAAATTGGAGAAGGGGAATTCCCCCCCCCCCCCCCAAAAAAAAGGTCAGTTGCATCATTTTCAGGCACAAAAGCAAAATAAACCCTCCAGGCTCGATAAGGAGACTGTTTGTAACCCTTTAAAGCCAGGAAACAACGCAAGGGAGTCACTACAATCCCTCCCCTGCAAGATGCTTGAGCCCATGGAGGTGACATCCCTGTGGATGCTCCTGAGATTGCAATTACTGAAATGATAATGCAACCCCCTACACCAAATTTTAGTGGACTGCAAATGGGCCTAGAGTCACTCAAAACTTGACAGGTTCAAGTAAATTTTTCAGTTTTTAAGGAAGAAGTTCCTACTTCATTTAGAAAAACTGTAATGTACTATCTCTTGAAGTAGAGCACGCAGGTCCTAGAGATATGGCAGAAGTACTGGTGACTTTTCAAAGCTCTTGACTTATGGTATGTAATAATCATTTATGGGATATTCATTCCACTTTTTGTTTTTTCCAGCTTTTGTTGCCCCCAGTCTGTAATGACTGTCAGAATTCACTAGAATTCAGTCTCAAGATCTAAGAACCATTTATTTTATCTATTACGTTGTTTGACTAATTTTGGTAGCACTCCGGATTAGTCAGTTCTTGTTTCAGTTTTCTTTTGCATGCAACATACTGTATATGCTCAACCATTGCTGTTTTGTAAATCTTGATTCTTGATATGAGCGGCTAAAAGGATGCAGTGATTTAGTTCTGCAGAAAATGCTATAATTTTGATTAAGAGTTGTTCCCCCTTGATTTACTAACTGATGTAACCAGCCACTTATTTCTTCATTTGAGGGTACTCTGACTGAAACAAATACACAATACCTTACTAATTTTAACACAATTCCCTGCATTTGAATAGTAAACAGTGTAAATGTTGATGATGGTGAAGGCAGGTAGACAGATGTATAGTGACAAAACATAGCCAAATAAGTTTATGATGAGATTGCTTTAGGAGAGCCTTCCCCAGTAGTTTCCTGATGCATTGGATTCCTATCATCCACAGGCAATAATAGTCTTTGTAGACCATCTTGGGGAAATCCAGTTGGGAAAAAAGAGGTTTAAATGAGGAAAGAATTAAAGGAACCAGTAATTAAATGCATTCCTTGATGTCAGTGGTGACAATCTTCGCAACTTCTTTTTGAAAATCCATACTCTGTTCTAAAAAATTAACCGCAAGTTAATTAACAAGAATCTAATAATTAAATAAATCTGCCTTTGTGATATATTCTTTTTAGATTCCCCATTTCTTTAAGTTTTTAAAACATTCACATTCATATGGACTTCCATTATACTATAAATGTACAAAGTCATTTTGTGATGGGAAACGTAGCTGTATAGATTTGTCTTCAGTTATGATGAATCAATATTTTGGTTCCTTTTAATAATGCAATCTGTTGATCTAGTAGACAATATGATTCGAAAGATTTGTGAAATTCTGACATTTGCTTTGAATTATTAAAATGATGACTTGTTCCAGAGTTGAATTCCATATCTAAGCAGAATAAGGACATATTTGTGTGGGTACATATGGTGGCTTTTAAAGGGGTTTTTTTGGGGGGGGGGGGGGGGTGTTATTTGTACACAATAGTAACCAACCTCTTTGACTTTGTATGTTTGATAGATATATGAATAGTTTTCTTTTCTGTAGAGTTTTCTTTTTTCTCCCTAAAATTGCTCACAGAAGTGACAAAGCAATTCTGAGGACAGTATTTCTTGTGATATTAATACTGAGACTTCTCACTCTCTAAAGCTACAGAAATGTCCAAGGACAAAGCTTAGGTGTAATGAACCATATCTAATGACTCCATTATTAATTTTTCAGTGTAATATAATCTCCAAACTAATTTGTTTGGGATTAAGGTGGTCATGTACTTTATAGCTGTTACACTGTAATAAAGTGTTATAAAGTGTTGGTTAACCATTAGCCAATCACAACACTCTTTGTTAATCACTGTAACCTTACAACTCAAGGGTGTGATTTTGCCATAAATAAAATTAAAAGGATTACTCTCTAGTCTGACCTTGGTAAATGGAAAAGTACCAAAGGAAGCATGCTGT